ATGTAACTTCTGTTTTTGTCTCGTGCGAATGCAGTACATTTTAGTGAATATCTTGAAAACAAACAAGGGTTCAAAATCGACCTTAGCACCTATTATAGTGCTAACCAAGAGCTATACGTTTCAATTTTTATAAAATTAAAATAAAGTCTTGGCACATGTGTTTTTTTAGTTTGAATGCGTACGAATGTCGCTTTCGACACCAGAGAATTGCCCATATTTAATATTGGGGCAACACGTTGTGGGGTCGCCACAAGTGTTGTGCCGGAGATTGTCTCGGGCTTCTTCCTTTTTACTAGGAATTATTGAGAAGAACTTTCTCTGTTACTAACGCCCCTAAAGGAGCGTTGTCCAATTTATGGTAATAATGCGAGGATACTGCAAAGCCGGATATTCGTTTCATGAGCGACTGCTCTTTATTTAATATAAAATCGAACTGCACTTAGATGCAATTTGTGCATGGTCAGCGAGATGTCACGGTCATCCGGTCACACTTTTTACTTTTTGTTAACTTAGGTTATGTATAAATTTTAAATTTATATATAAAAACATAAGAATGGAATGAATAAAATATAAAGTTGCCCTGCCTAGACTATGTTAGGAATCCTGCTAGGAATTTGTTATGAATTTCAATACGAATTCCCCCCTGAAACAGAAGGGAATTTCGAACAGGATTCTGAACGGAATTTCTAGGAATTTCAGGCGGAGTCAGGCAGTAATCGTAGGGGAATTTAGAGTAGAATCAGATAGGAAAGAAAACGTGTAGAAAATACCTGGAACCCCCGGCCCCTTATTAATATTTAACGCAATTTATATTTAATTTATTTATTTAATTATTTATTTATAAAACTTTATAATTTGTTCAATGATTACCTCAATGTTTCTTATCACAACTGCTTGCATTTTCACGTTTAGGGGAATGTTACGGGTCTTTACGTCCAGCTGTTGCCCCGTCAATCTATAATTAAAATACATACGTACACTCAACCGCATATCTCTGCGTACACCCCAAAAAAATTTCAAATACAAACTTTAAACACAAACTGTTCAGTTAATCATTAACATTTTAGACAATTTTTTTTTTTGCTAGCATACTCTTTATTATATTGTCTTCAATGACGTATTTTTTTTAGAATTATGAAACAATGCTTTATATTTTATTTTTAATTTTAAACTTAACACTGTAAAAAAATGACCCCGCAAAAGTTAGAATCAAATGGACAATATTTTCCATACATACCAATTAAACAGAAAACAAATTCTGGAAATATAATGACTTTTCCGTTCACACCGTTTATGTTGAAAAATCGTCCAGGTTCAAAAGCAACTCTGCAAATTAATTTATTATTTTAATACAAATAAGTCACTTACCTTTTAACAATATTTAATAAATTACAATGCAAAACACTTGTGAATACTTTATCTGTTATTGGAGCTGCGAAAATATCGATTTCAATTATGAGACTATCGATTCTATTTTTTCGGTAAATAATTTTTTTTTCATCTCACTTTAATTTCGGTACCGCTGCTCCGAATCCCTTCAAAAACAATAACGAATATGAAGTCAAAACATCGGCAGTAGGCTTTTTTGTTTCGGAGTTCTCTTACCGAAACCCATGAGATTTGTTTTTGTTTTTTTGAACATGACACCAGGAATCGGACAGGAAAGGTATTTTGGTATTGAAGGGTTATTTGTAAAATGTTTATTTAATTGGAATTAACTTTTTAGGCGCTGTTCACGTCAGGAGGCCCTTCGCGGCGGCCGCTGCGCTACCACTGTCCACCGAGCTTCCAAAAGCTTGGCCGCCCTTGCACACCCGCAGGTCGGCCGCAGGTCAGCACTGCTCATCGTGCTCCCGCTATCCTCTCTTCGATATTCGCGACTGACCGCTCCCGAGCTTCGCTCGTTGCTAAGCGAGCTGAAGGAGGGCTAGTTAGCGCTCCACTTCTCGAGCCCGCACTCGTACTGTTAAGCTTAGCTTATCGGTCGGGAGCGCGGCCCTTGTGTTTAAGCTAGTTGGTACTATGCATGCAGCAAAATGAAGCTGACGCACTGAAGAGAGCCCCACGACGCCCCCGACATTTTATTTTTCAACCTCTACGGGTTACATTTTTTTCGGGACCTTTAGCGGCAGCATCGCCCCATCCCCCCCCTACACAGGCGCTTTTCACAAGTGTGTATTTTCTATCTATTGAGTTTAGAAAATGGAAATGGTGTACAGGAAATTGACATGCAAAAACAAATTGAAGTTAAAGAATATTATATTACGTTATTGTAAGAATAAAATAATTCATGTTTGAATAATATGTTTATGTTAGTTTACAATTGTTTCTATGATGTATGACATAGTATGTCGATTTTGTCATCATGCCTTCGTCAACTTTAAGATTTTTGCTTCTCAATGGGAATAGCATTGGATATTAAAATTATCGTTATGGTGTTGAGTTTCAGACTCAAAAAATTGCATATGTCATGTAATTCAAACTCTCGTGCAAAGAATTGTCTTTCATGTTGGCCTCTATTTTTAAACGGATTTATTTAGCTCACCCAGTTTGTTTTCTTTATTCTTGGGTCAAATTTAGTAATTCAAATTTCACCCTCTTCTTGTCAACCGATTAATCTGAAATGTTGTATACACTTTGGATACACTTTGCTGATCATTAGCATCAGAGAACTGCAACGATCAACATTTTTACAATCATACCCGATCATTGACTCGGATTTTTTGTGACGCAAAACTTTGCAACAACAAAATTGTATGATCGTAAGGGAGCATATTCGAAGCGAATATTCAGTTCCGATCACTCTTGCCCGGTTGCGGAATGATTGCTTTTAATCAAACGTTTTGTGTGAATTGCAAAGAATGATAGAGACTGCTCCTTGCATTCAGGCCGATCACAATCATTCATTTTGGTCAAACCGGGTTTGTTGTGTTCCTTAGTGTTCTGAGCATACTATTTGATGAATTTTAGTTTTTAGGATATAAAATGACAAATAAATGAAGTTAATCTGTTTCAGGTAATTCTATTCATCGCAACTTCTTTTCTGCGCACATATAATTATGTACATATTTTCGGTCTGATTGCATCATTCACAATCAAATCAAATCAAACATGAGCGAACCCCGAGCTGTTATGAATCGTTGGGCTCGATCCTTCTTTTCCTGCACGATCAGTTCCGATCATCATACCGATACCAACCAATTAGCTTGAATCAGCCAGCAGAACAAATTAAGTCAACTGAACGAACTTGTTTGTATTGTGCCCGAAGCTTGATTGAAAATGTTGTAACGAACCGCTATGTTAAGTTTTGATCGGTTTGATTGTTGCTGATCAAACCCGACTGATCATACTTAATGCAGTTCTCTGATTAGCATTATAAATTCAAGAAAGCCGCCGCTACGAAATGGCGGATAACTTAGGTTTTATCAATCCCATCAACATGGGTATCAAATGAAAGGTCTCAACAAGTAGAATACAATTACAACAGAATGCGAAATAAAAACTAAAAACTAGAAAATAAAAATAGGTAAACCACTTTTTAACTTAAACATAAAACATGTTAAGCATACATTGCAATGTTAAAGATGAATGTAATGAAAACCAAAAAATAATAAAATAGATACAGTCGTGGGAATTATAAACATATGCATAGACTAGACTTAAATTAAAACCGGGGGGCACGTCAATTGTCTACAATCGTTGATTAAAATGATTGTTTTGTAATGTTACACTATAATTCGGCAGATGTTCAACCGACAACGATGGACGTGTGATAAGTAGGGCTAGACTGTGGAAACAAGCTAGCAAGCTCGATTATAAGCGAGTTTTAGGGTTTCATAGTGGTGTGCGAGTAGTACTTTTATCATATGTTTTGTCGATTAAAGACAAACTACGAGCAGTGAAACAATTCCTCGCCAGCCAGCAGTGTGAATGTCCAACGATAAACTAGTTGAAACATCTCTTTTATTTACATGGAGTGTATAACTATTGGAATTTCCATGAGCAAAATAATAGTAAGTAATTTCCTCACCGTTTGCGGGCCAACTGCCTTACGACGAATTAAACGATTCTTCTATCGCACATTAACTCGATAATTTTTAGACAATTGACGTGCCCCACGGTTTTATTTTAGTCTAGTCTATGCATATATTTATAATTCCCACGACTGTATATACTTTATTATTTTTTGGTTTTCAGTACATTTATCTAAAACATTGTCCTTCTGTCCGTCTGTCCGTCTGTCCGTCTGTCCGTTTCAACGCAAACTAGTCTCTCAGTTTTGAAGCTAGCTGAATGAAACTTTGTAGTTAGCCTTCTATATACTCTCACTCGTATATATGTCGGAACGGGCCGGATCGGACGACTATATCATATAGCTGCCATAGGAATGATCGTAAAATTTTTACAAAAAAATTTTTAACTTTTTCAGTTTTCAATAGAATCGGATCAAATTTAAGATATAGCCATTTAACTATACTCTACAATTTTGTGTAAAATTTTATGAAAATCGGACTAATATATCATATAGCTCCCATAGGAACGATCGAGAAATTAATACAATTAAATTTGTAACTTTTTCAGTTTTCAGCTGATTTTCATCAAATTTAAGGTATAGATATTTTATATTAGTTATGAAAATCGGACGACTATATCTTATAGGTGCCATACAAACGATCGTTTGATGTAGAGGAAAAATGCAAATCTGTGTATGTAAAACTGCAAATATAATATGTATAGGTGAATGAAATGAAAGCAGCTATTACTTCATTGTTTTTTAACACAAATATATATAATTTATAGTGTATGGATTCCTATTCATAGAAGTTCTATCTGCAAGGGTATAGAAACTTCGGCGTGCCGAAGTTAGCTTTCTTTCTTGTTTTTTAATTAATTATATTTATTTTCGCCGGAATCGTTCAGCCATTTGAACTTTTCCAAATGTTAAGGATATGGGAAGGAAATATGGTACATATAGGATATGGGCCTGGATTACTACGTACCTATTCGGATAGAGCTTCGCATATTTTGTTTGCCATAAAGAAGCAAAGGATCCTCCCAGTTTTTTTATGTACCCATGTAGAATACAGTCAGATTCCTTTTCGTCTGTATCAAATTGATGCTTCTGCTTTGATTTTCGTTTTTGTTCAATTCTATCAGTCTCGACATTGACTGTTTCAAATACTGTTTCAGAAACTTCCTGTTGCCACCTATTAAAAATAGAAACAATTTTATTTATAAAAATAAATTTTAAGCAATTTCAAATGTAAAAGATATTTTTCACGTGTTTTGTTGTTGACCAGCAAATAAGTCAGCTGTTTGAGTAGTAATAAACGTTGAGAAAACAATAGCAAAAATTAAGTGAAAACTGCAGAAGCTAAAAACGAAATCGAACGACTTCGCCCAAATCGAAATCGAATAAAAAGTGAAATCCATAACAGACCTGTTACATCTGATTTTCCAGCTTATAATCTAAACACTTCCATTTTTTTTTTTTAATTTCAGGGCTACAACATTCAGACAAAAATCAGGAGCATGGTGTTCAAGTGTGGTGTTCATGTATGTTCAAGTATATATATGACATAGAAAATTATAGCTGCTGATTATGCTTGATGAGTTATTAAATCAGAATGCAAGAAAAGCCAAAAGAAAAGAATATTAAATCCACCGATCCGCACATGGATGTCTTTTGGATCTCCAAGCCGTTCTCGTAACTGATAGACTGGCGTGTTTCTAAACCGTTCTAATAATTGGTATAATTTCGCGTTTGTTAAGGTTCTTTGTCTTCTTATTTATGATCCTGACGATAGTTGTAGGATGTTTCTTGAGCCACAAATACTCAGCTACCCAGAATTCTTCAAGAGAAAATATATTGGCGCCCCTAAACACCAAAATGACACAGCAAGTCCTACCCACTACCTGTTAATATGTAGCGACACTCAACGGAGTGGGAGAGAGAATATAATTTTGGAATTGATTGATTGATTACATATTGCACGCTCAGTACTTTTTCTGATTATTGTCCAAGCTATTTTGCCACTTTGACGCCCCTTGTGGTAGCTTTCAAGATTAACTTCCCATCCTTGAAGCCGTATTGCTTCGATTGGTGCTGTTATTTTGGTTGAGATAACCCACTGAAAAACTTTTTCAATCGTGTCTAGGAAACAGATTGGCCTTTAAGGTAATGTCGCTCCTCGTGGCTTGCCTGGCTTGACCATCTGTTGCTTCCATGACAAAACAGATTTTCTCTTGGACGTTGATGCACTAAGGTCAGTACATTCAAGTGGCCCGTATGACACCAGACACGTGCCTGTTAGGGTTAGGTGTTAGTAGGCGCGATGGAAAATATAGGACAGAATACGAGGAAAATTGACTACCGGCGTGCTGCCAGATTGTTAGCTTGCATGCTTACTAAGTGTGTTAGTATTAAAGATTTTAATTTGGGAAGGGAATCTACGTTAGAGATTAGTGTGTACAAATCATTATAATTTGCACATAACACTCTAAAAGGTTCATGCAGTTCAAAGGAGGTCCTACAGTGGCGCAACACTAATGGGATATAGGATCTAGTGGTTCTACATGGTACATGGAAATTAAGCTGACTCAACAAGTCAGCACTTTCCACATCACCATGGATAAGGTTAAATATAAAGGTTATTCCTAGCATCGTTCTACGATTGGCTAAGGACGGCAAGTTTATTAATAGGAGTCTACTAGGGTAGGAAGGTAATCTTTGGTTTGCATCCCAATTTAAACCGCGTAGAGCGAAAAGTAAAAAGTTCTTTTGAACCGACTCAATGCGTTTACTATGGACGCCGTACTGAGGGCTCCAAACGCAGCATCCATATTCTAGGATAGGACGAACTAAGGAAGTATATAAGGATTTAGTAACATAGGGGTCATTGAATTCCTTCGACCACCGTTTAATAAATCCAAGCACACCCCTGGCTCTATTCACCATAGACGAAATATGATCAATAAAGTCAAGTTTTGGGTCCAAGCGGACGCCCAAATCGTCAACTGTATTAATTCTTTCCAAAGAGCAGCCGTTCAGCGTGTAAGTAGCAAGCTTAGGAGCGACACGAGAGAATGTCATTAGCTTGCATTTCGAGTTATTTAAGTTTAATAAGTTTACACGGCACCAAGTTTGAAAATTATTAAGATCTGTTTGTAAATCCGACTGGCAGGCAACGTCATTGTATTGCACGCAAAGCTTGACGTCATCCGCGTACATAAGTACTCTGGAGTTAGTCAAGACTTTGGGCAGGTCATTTATAAATAATGTAAACAATAAGGGTCCCAAATGGCTTCCTTGCGGGACGCCAGATGTAACCCTTAGAACATTGGATAAATTATTCTTAAAGAGGACCTTTTGCGTCCTGCCATTCAAATAACTTGAGATCCAATTAAGAAGATCACTTGGAAAACCCATTGAATCGAGTTTTGTAACGAGGAGAGAATGGTTAACAGAGTCAAAAGCTTTACTGAAATCAGTATAGATTATATCTGTCTGACAATTATTATGGAAGCCCTTTATAATATAGGAAGAGAGCTCCAAAAGATTTGTTGTTGTTGATCTTCGCTTCATAAAACCATGTTGACATGGAGAAATAACCGATCTACAAAGGTGCTGTAAGTGAGGGGTGATAATGTTTGCAAATAATTTTGGGATGGCCGACAACTTAGAGATTCCTCTATAATTGCTGGCATCCAATTTGCTACCTTTTTTGTGGAGAGGAATAATAAACGATTCCTTCCAAATAATGGGAAAGTGGGAGGTTTCCAAGGACAAGGTAAACAATTTCAGAAGGGGATAGCACAGGGCGTCGGCACAATACCTGAGCACACAGCCAGGAACTCCGTCGGGACCTGGCGAATAAACTGGCTTGACACGATGAAGATCTAAAAGGAGAGAGCTTTCGTTTAGGCTGGGACAGAAAATTAAGTTTGATTTGGGTATGTCGTAGGAATAGGTCTGGTGTAGATACGAAGAGCTAGAATAGGTTGTTTGAAAAAACTGAGAAAATAGATCGGCTATTGCCTGATCATTATTTGCATTAGAATTTTCAAATGAAAGCGAGGAAGGATTTGTTTTAGGCTTACGTTTAGTGTTAACGAAATTATAAAACTGTTTTGGGTCCTGTGTGAACTGGGCCCTGCAACGAGTTAAATAGTTTTTATAACACTGCGCGTTCAGCACGGTAAAGTTTGACCGAGCTGATAAATAAGATGAAAGGGCAGATTGAGAACCGGTGATTTTAAATTTAGCATACAGTCTAGATTTTTTATTTTTAAGTCGGCTCAACTCTTTAGTAAACCACGGCGGTTTATTCGAGCTTGGCGGATAATATAACGGAACACATTCAGTAAAAAATGAATTCATGGCGCTGTAAAAAATATCCACGGCAAATGCCATGTCAGTGCACATGTATAGATCGGACCAATTGAACTCGTTTATAAAATTATTCAGCCGTTCAAAGTCCGTTTTGCGAAAACATAGGACTTTATTGGCTGGACGATCAGAAATATTCTGTACGTCACACCCAATATCAAGAGTCACATCGAAAGTTGGATGATAAGGATCTTCAGGCTGCGTCAGAGGCGCCACCCTTGCTAAACTGACTCTCGCAGGATCAGAGACGAAGCAAAGATCGAGCAAGCGCTGTAAGGAATTTCGAACATGGTTGACTTGAGACAGCGAAATGTCAAACAAGCCAGCGATAAAGTCATGTTGTGTAGGTGTATGGAGAGTATTGGTGGAATTATTTGAGCACCAAATAGCACCAGGGATATTAAAATCTCCTAGAACTACCAACTGGTCTCTATCCAAAAGTCTACTGGAAACCATCTGAATAGCGGAAAGGTGATTCCAATAAATAGGAAGTTCCGACAGTGGAGGTATGTAGGAACAGGTAATAAAAATGGAGCTACCTTTGATAGATAGCTTCACACAGAGGAATTCAACATCGTTGCATTCCTCGAAGGTTAATAATTCTGACGTGAGTGAGGAGTCCACCGCTATAAGAACTCCACCCCCGCGTCTGATAGGGCGATCTAGCCGATATACCGTGAACACAGCTGGAAAAACTTCGGAGCTCAGAATCTCCGGCTTTAACCAGGTTTCTGTGAGCACAATAACCTGAGATACAAACGAAAGGCTATCAGAATACAAGTTAGGAAGCTTACTACGTAAGCCTCTTGCATTCTGATAGGAAATACCTAGGGAGTGGGTTAGTTTTTTGGATCGGGATTGGAAGACGTAGAAGGCGCAGTGGTATGATCAGGCCTGGGAAGAGTTATTCCTACAGGCCGCTTTTTCTTTTTCTTCGCCTCGAACTCCTTAACAACGATGTACTCTGGCCAGAAGTTGGGAGAGCAAATAGTATTAAAGAGCTCGTTAGGGACATTTATTTTGAAAGATGAAATGTCCCTTGCGTAAGAAAATTTGAATTTTTCCACCTTTATCTTAATTTTTTCGGCTCTGGTTTTGCCTTGTATAAAGGCGAGAACATCTTCCGATGTTTGGTCAGGGGAGAGCCGCGAGACAAAAATATGTCTCGTTGGTGGAACAGCTATAAGGGCTTTGGCAAGGCAGATTGGTTATCTGCCGTGCCATTGTCGGCCGGTATTCCGGGCCTAACACCGTGGGTAGATAATGGTGTGTGCACGGGACTTTGAGGGGTCAATATTTGCGACCCCCCAGGGGATAAAACAGAAATCACCGGCGGTACGGGCACTCCCGCTGCACATTCGGATACCGAATCTTTTCTAGCGCTCGATCTCAGCACTCTTGGAATTAGTGCTGAGGTCGAGGGCTGTGCCGAGGGAGGCTGCTGCTGAGAGCCCGTTGCAGGTAGTTGGGGTCCGTCTACATGCTGCCCACCAGTAGCAGTTTTTTTGCGCCTAGGAGACTAATTTAATAGCGTAAGGCTATTAAATTGGGTGTCCAGCGCCAAGAACATATCAAGAGTTTTACGAAAACTCGTTAAAATGCCCTTAAAACCGCTTTTGGTTTGCCGCATGAAAGACATCATCTCCCTTTCTACATCGCGACAGGCCTCACAACAGAAACGCAGGCCGATGTTTTTTTTACATCGTCCACCGTCCGAGCTGCAACTCCAATACACTTGGCGTGCATGACGTTGTCGCACAGCCAGCAGCCGATTGTAAGGTCACCTGCAACAACTGCCTTTTTGCAGGTTTTGACTAA